ATTTTGGTGCTATATGTTTGGGCAGATTCTATAAAGTTGATTCATACTGATTTTGGTGATAACTATATGCACGAGAGAGAGTAGACGGTACCTTTAAAAACAATTTTAATTTTTGTTTAAAAGATTCTAATATTTGTATGCCTACTCTGATACCAATTGTTGTAAATTTCACAATAATTCTGCTAAGAAGAAGAATTACATATACTAATTGATGGTTCGAAATTCATATATGTGGAAGACATTGTTATGTATAAATATTACCGATCGAATCTTCATCTTCTTACTCCTCAAAATAATCAGCCGTCAATGGGGCAAGCAAAAACCAACATGGAGAGGAGATGAGACCTAGCCATTATATAGGAAATTATAAAGCCAGCCCATTATCAACTCTAACCCTAATTAGGATTTAGATAATTCCGGCCAACATACTTAAAATTACAACATTATAATAATATAGTACGTAAGATGTACAGCGACCCAATTGATCACTAACATATTTGGCCAATCACAGTATCATTGCAAACCATATATCTGACCCGTAAAATTCGCAATTAAATGGAAACCCATGTAATAGAATTATTCTAACATAGAATTAACATTTTATGATGGAAAATATCCAAAATGATATATTCTTCATTTTCAATCTTTGAGATAATAACAAATAACCACTGATTCTGAAGTATTTTTTTTACAGCTGTGGATCTTGTGGAGAACATTGGGGTACAAGCAATTTTCGGCCTCGAGACATCTCTGGAAGAAAAGTTCTTAGCCATACTACTAGAGAAAGCTAAACTTCCTATATTTTCATTTTCCCCAAGCATAAGCTCCTCCACCAGACATCCTTACATTGTCAAAATTAGGTCGGATGAAACAGTTAATCTTGAAGGCATTGCTTCTATTCTCAGATCATTTGAATGGAAAGATGCCATTCTTATTTATGAGGATACTAATGATGAGCGCAAAGCTACGCCTCATTTGGGCGAATCATTTGAAGGCAAAAATATTTCCATTCCTTACAGAAGTGTCATTTCTTCTTTCTCTAGAGATGATCAAATCCTGAAAGAGTTGCAAAAGCTCATGACCCTGAAAACGAAAATATATATAGTGCACATGTCATTGCCTCTTGCTTCTCGACTTCTTATGCATGCGAAAAGATTGGGAATGATGAAAAAGGAATATGCTTGGATCGTCACCGACAAAACCATGAACTCAGTGCATTTGATGGACTCTGAAGTCGTTGAATCTCTGCAAGGGACATTAGGTTTCAAGCCGAATATTGCAGCATCAAGTAAGCTGCGGAACATCACCTCAAGATGGATGAGGGAATATGATGCAACAGACCCTAATGTGGTACTAAGAGAGTTACCAGTAGTTGGAATATGGGCATATGATACAGTGCAAGCAGTAGCAGAAGCCTTTGAGAGGTTAAGTATTGAAACTTCAAACGTTAATGATCAATTTTTAGGGTTGAAGTCCGTGGAGTGGACCAATTTTTTACATTCTCACGGTGGAGCATTGCTCCTACACGAACTTTCTCATGTTAGATTTGAGGGTTTAAGTGGTGAATTTCAGTTGGTGGATGGGAATGTATATCCTAAAGAATATAGTCTGGTGAATATTCAAGGCAGTGAAGAAAAAATGGTCGGATTATGGAGGACTACAGATGGAATTTTCGAAGAAGTATACTCATCATCATGCTGGATAAATCATAGTACAGATTCCAACACTATGATATGGCCTGAAGGGTGTAAAACTACTTCAAGAGGCCGTTTATTGCAGACTATGAGCCCCAAAATGCTTAGAATTGGGGTGCCAGTGAAAATCAGTTTCAAACAATTGGTTGACGTGCGTTATGATTCTCAAACCAATTCAACAACCATCTCAGGCTACTGCATAGATGTCTTCAAAGCTGCCATTGACGCCTTAAATTATAGAACACCTTATGAGTTTGTCCCACTTGTGAATGGAAGTTACAATGACTATGTCCATCAGGTTTATCTTCAGGTATTACTATCTTCTTTTAGCTATATATATAATTGTCTACAAAAGTGTTGTCACTGGAGACTTATTTCCTAGTCTGAACTTTGAAAGAAACAAGAAATTAGTCTCTAGTGATGAGTCTTAATTTGATGCACATTTTTCCCATTAATGGTAGCGTTTGTACTATTCAAATTGCAAAAAGATTGGAGTTGGATCAAATTCCAACTAAGTTTGTTCGAATACCAACTGGCTCGAATTAAATTTTCATGGAGAAATTGAGATGTTCAAATGAAACAGTAGTATTTTATAAAAATAAGGTGTTGCAATTTTGTACAGTTAGTTTATATAGACCAGTACAATTCACTTAGTTCGATGGTTCATTTTGTATGTATAGAACATTGATGGACTTGTGGGAGATGTAACAATCACTACCAATAGATCTCTGTATGTGGACTTTACAGCACCTTTTACCGATTTGGGAGTGGGAACCATAGCACCGCTCAACAACGAAGACATGTGGAACTTCTTGAAGCCTCTTGATACAAAATTGTGGCTAGTAAGTGGCGCCTTCTTTTTCCTGACAGGCTTTGCAGTTTGGGCTATTGAACGGTCTAACAACAACGAAGAATTTAGTGAAGGTTCAGTAGTTTATCAGATTGGCACAATCTTCTGGTTCGGCTTTTCTACCCTGGTTTTTGCTCATAGTAAGTTTGTTTATTTTCATCATGACAGAATTACTGCAAAGATTTATACTTCCCTATTGCTTAAAACAATTAATAAGTAAATCTATTGGAGCATTGCAGGGGAAAAATTGACAAGTAATTTATCAAGAGGTATTGTGCTTGTGTGGGTATTCGCGGTGCTGATCCTGACTTCAAGCTATACTGCTACATTAAGTTCCCTTTTGACAGTGCAACAAATTCAGTTAGGATCAGCCGGGGAGTTCTTGGGAACCCAAGGTGACTCCATTGTAAGTGGAGTTATAGCTAATAACTTAAATTTCCAAGACGAGCGCCTTAAGCTCTATCTTTCACCAGAAACATATGCTGAGGCTTTGTCAAGAGGACGTAAGAATGGTGGTGTCGACGCTATCATTGATGAAATCCCTTATATCAAGATTGTCTTGTCAAAATACTCAAAAGATTACGCGATGATTGCTTCTGCGTCCACCACTGGTGGTTTTGGCTTTGTAAGTATTCCTTTTCATTGCCAATCAATTGTTTCTGTTCAACTTATTTGGCTCTTATCTTGCAGGTATTCCCCAGAGGTTCTCCACTGGTTCCTGATATATCAAAAGCAATTATAAAACTAAGAGAAGAAGGAAAACTTGTGATGATGGAAAGGGCATGGTTCAAGAGTCAATCGTCCTTCTTACCAGACGGCGCTGTGACTATCACAAACATATTGAACTTCAATCAGTTTCGTGGTTTATTTTTAGTTAGTGGGATTTGTTTTGCCATAGCTCTTGTCATCTACCTGACACAGTTATCGTTAGAAAGGTTCCAGGTTAAAAATTTCTTTATCAGACTTGTCAATAGAGAAAATCTGGCCTTTGTATTAAGGTACTTTCCCCTCAGAAATGAATGAACTGGTAAATAAGATAATGAAATATTTCTCACCCGATGTAACAAAATTAAAATCATTGATGAAATCTTCGGGTACTTTGTGTACATTTATCTGAAAAATAATGAATACGCATTGTTTCTTTTATTTCCTGAATTACTTCATGAGTTTCTCGACATTGTCTTATTAATTATTATGATTGGAATTTCTGTTTATAAAAAGAAAGAAAGAAATAACCCACTTGAAAATAGAAAAATGTTTCGAATTTGCAATAATTTAAAGGTCAAAGTACACATTTTGTAAGATATACGACTACTAACCAATTATCCATCCCTCGTTTTTATCAAGTTATAATTTCTAAAACTAATGAGAAAATACATATAGAAATTATTTTATGGGTCATTGAACATGGCCTCCAGTCATTACTAACTCACTAATCTTCAAAACATAATTTTCTGATTATTAAACTTTGTATCGTGTTATCCATTCATTATTAAGATGGATTCCGTTTCTTTGGTTTGATGAAAAATGTACACGTGGCTGATAGAATTCCAATGTGGCATCCATTCCCATCAAATGCCTCAAGCTCAACCAAACATCTCTCATTTTACCCCTGGAAAACATGACCTCACCATTTGAAAACACAAATCTATACTTTGTAAATTTCCAAAATTCCCAATCGTTTCTTCTACCTTCTATCATCTTAATTTTCTCTCCCTTTTCTCTCTAGCTTTTCCTCTCTTTATCACACTTTGTTGCGGAATTCATTTTTCCAAGAAAAAGAAAAGGAAAACTACCCAGCCGTTTCTACACAATTCGAATATGCCTGTGCATATTTATAAGTTATAACATTTGTTGACGTCCGATCTTCCATGTCACTAAAGAGTGATTTGGGGATCAAAAGTCAACATATAGGAAGTTCAACAAATGAAAATATAGGTACAATTCAGACAATAGCGTCGAAATTAGAGGGAATATCATGATTCTCCATCACTGACAAATTGTCCCCACTTAACCATCGCCCACTCCATAATGATATGTGGCAGTCATGATATTAGCACCTTATCTTTGGCCAATAATAATTATTATCCAATATCATTGCCTGGTGTCATAAGTGAAGTCCTAGCGTCATAATGGTTAGCATGGCTGACCTCAGCGACCAATCAAGGGACTAAGATTTGAGTGGTGGCACACAATTCTAGGTCGACACTATAGCTGATGTGACGTAGGACAACCCGATTGCTTGATTTAGAGGCCTGTAAATAGGAGCAAATGGCTCTCTTTAAGGGGTCAAACTCAATGTATTCTCTCCAATACACTTCAAACTCCAGTCAATGGAATTATCCTTTAATTTTCCTGAATTCAAGCAATTTCAACTATCACTTTACTAACTTTCTATTCAGTTGATCTAAATTTTCACGACATTTTTAGTCATCAACAACTTTGATCCCTTAAAACCTACGAAAATTTTCTAGTAACCATAATTTTATTTCCTTTCTGCAAATATATTTTCTTTCCAATTTCATAGGCGCTGCAAAAAACCGCATTGTGGCTTCAATTAGTGGCTGCCATGCATAACCCTAGTAATATACGTTTATATATTATGAAATACAATACACACAAGTCCCTATATTCCGTCCTTGTTTATGATATCTTAAAAAGTTACCAACCCGTTTAGGTCAAAGTCAATAATTAAGTTCAATCATATATTTAATTAGACTCACAAGTAATTTTTTTTTTTTTTTTTAAAATTTTCAACTACGGACTTGTTTGGCAACCATTATTTTTCACTCTTTTTTCTACGTACTTATTTTCAATCTCACATTCACATAATAAAATATTATACACATATATCGAAAAAATTTTCCTACTTTTTAACTACACATTTTCCTAAAAATTACTATTTAAAACTCTATTTTTCCCAAATGATGGTTGTCAAACAACGGCTACATATATCATCAATTTTTATTAAATTTTTCGAAAACTTTTATCAAAAAATTTGCCAAACAACCCCCTAGTTTAATTATCATGGGCCCTTCAACTTTATGATAATTTACTATATTAAACATTTAAAAAAAAAAAAAATTCAAATTCCCAATATTGTGACCTTACCCTGAAAAGTAACAATTGCCGAATAAGATTCATTCTTTAATACTTGTTTTCCATTTATTTCTTGATTTGCAGTCTTTAACAATTGCCGAATAAGTTTCCTTCTTTACTACTTGTTTTCCATTTATTTCTTGATTTGCAGTCTTTAGGGAAAACTTGTAGTTTCCTTTTCAGAGATTTCCTTCTCCTGCCAACACACAGAAGACCTCTTCTTCTCTAACCTCTCTATGTGTTGTAGCCTTAGCCTCTGTTTGATTTGTAATCTTTGGAGAAACCCTAATTTTTCTCCCTTTTTACTAACATTTACTTCTCAAAGTAAAATGTCTTCTTCTCAAGGATATTGTTGACCTCAAATTTTGTACCTCCAACAAGCCCAACAGATTCCAAGGCCTCTCACGTCCACGTAAGCCTAAATCTTGCACACTTGGACAAACCGTTAACCACACGTGGCTTCCTTTGGTGGTGGTGGAGTAGGCGCCGCGCACTCCGACGATTAAGTTAGTTGGGAAAATAAATGTATGAGTGTGGGAGGCTTTAGACGTGAGCTTCCAATGTTGAAAGGAGGTCGGCTTTGGGATGTATATCGAGAATAATAAATGAGTAAAGTTGCAAGTTGAGTGCATAAACTTGCAATACCTTGAAATGGCACTAAACGTGAGTTTTTATAGTAAAAAATGATGAAGGTTGACCGTTGGATAAAAGTATACGTGGCTTCATCCACACGGCTGAGACCTCTTGTCAAAGACATTAATCAATCATAAACATTCAATGCTAGAACCATTTTGTTGGCCATAAACTGATATTGTGATTTAGATTTGACCTGGTTGATGTATTAAGGTGGCGGTGGCAGGAGTGTCACATCAATCACATACAAGGAAAGAGTGCGTAAAGGATCTCCTACTGACCCCCTTTTGCGGCCTCTCCCGTGATGAGGGTTCGGTCCTTTGCAAAGGGGTCGACCTAGTCAAATGGATTCATCTTCTTCACCGGTTCACATCAACTACCTCTTAGCATTTGACGTGGAGTGTGGGCCCCCAAGTTTGTTCGCCATGTAGGGCCTCTGGGCCCATACCATGCGAAGCGTAACTATAGTCTCGAAGTCCATGTATGGTTATTTATATAATGCGTAGACTTTTAAGTTGAAAGCTTTGTATTCTTGCAAAGAAAAAAGTAGTGTAAAGATTGTGTAAAGGATCTCTTGTTGACCCCCTTTTGCGGCCCCTCCTGTGACAAGGGTTCGGTCATTTACAAAGGGGTCGACCCAGTCAAATGGATTCGGCCACACTTTGGTTCGGCTTCTTCACTGGTTCGGTCAACTGCCTCTTGGCGTTTGACGTGGAGTGTGGCCCCCCAGGTTTGTTCTCACCATGCCAGGCGTAACATATATTGTTACGATTACCAACTGTCCCATGACTGAAGCATTATTCTACCCAATTTTGAGTGGGCTGATGTTGTTTAATATTACATTAGAATAGAATACATATTGAAAAAAAAAACAGTTCTTGGTCAAGGTGATGACGAGGAAAGAATAGATGCAAACTTAGGGGTGTTCGACTTGCCTTGGATGTACATTATAGAGACGGAGAATGTATGTTTTCAGCGTCGCCTGGTGCGCGATGATGATGTGAGGGAAATATTGGTACGCTAACTTAAAGATTTTGCCCATCAAATCAAGGCTGATCCGACCAATGCCGGGAGAACAATATTCCCAATTGTTGTGACCATTCAGGTTTACACGGTACAACAAGAGAATAACTATTGATGCTACCAAGGAGAGGGCCATTGCTACGATGGCTTTGGAACTGGCGTACGCATAGGTTCAGGTCTGACAATGCGTCATTCATTAAATTGTTGTCAAATAATATGCTTCTATTGCATATCTCACAAACTTAATTCGATTTTAAAGATCATGGCTTACGATTGTATCATGGGCTTTGCTAGTTAGAAAATTAACAATGCGATTATTTTCCATTTTGAGATTATTTCAGCATTCAACTTAGAATTCTTTATTCGTTGGTAGTTTTGTTTTAGGTTTGTTATTGCTTGTTTTATACCAGTTTAAAATCTCTGTGTATGTATTTTCTTACGATTTTGTTTGATGTGAACCACTGAACCATTGCTTTTCTTGTTTTCATTTCTGTGTTACCTACCTAGCCTACAATGAATCTGAACTCTGTGGTACGATCCCTCCGTCACCCCAGAATGAAAGGGGTGCTCTCGTAGTTCTTGGTCTGTGAAGATGCGTTGTTAGGTGCTCCATTTTCTTTTCCCATTGAGGCCGACCCTAAACATGGCGTACGCATAGGTTCAGGTCTGAAAATGCGTCATTCATTAAATTGTTGTCAAATAATATGTTTCTATTGCATATCTCACAAACTTAATTCGATTTTAAAGATCATGGCTTACGGTTGTATCATGGGCTTTGCTAGTTAGAAAATTTAACAATGCGATTATTTTCCATTTTGAGATTATTTCAGCATTCAACTCAGAATTATTTATTCGTTGGTAGTTTTGTTTTAGGTTTGTTATTGCTTATTTTATACCAGTTTAAAATCTCTGTGTATGTATTTTCTTACGATTTTGTTTGATGTGAACCAATGAACCATTGCTTTTCTTGTTTTCATTTCTGTGTTACCTACCTAGCCTACAATGAATCTGAACTCTGTGGTATGATCCCTTCGTCGCCCCAGAATGAAAGGGATGATCTCAAAGTTCTTGGTCTGTGAATACGTCTTGTTAGGTGCTTTATTTTTCTTTTCCATTGAGGCCGAACTTAAATCTGTGTTCAAGAGATAGCTATCTATATATTGATAGCCTAAACCTTTTCCCATTTGGTCGAATTCTTGTTAGCAGGTTTCTATTTATGAAAATTCTGTATCTAATACTATATTAGCATATATAATGTTGGACGAAAAACTATTTGTCGATTTTTATGTACCTCTTTCCCGTAATGGAGAATAAAATTTCACTTATCGTTCTTCAAAAACATATATTTTCATTTGGTTAAAACTTCTTATATAGATAAACAGATATTTCTTTCTAATTTCCACCTCTTCTCAACCTCAACTTCGTGCCTTGCCAACAAATATTTGCATAGGCATCAAAGGAGGAGGTCGAAGATTGAATATCAAACTCAAAGGTTTTATGGAAGGACTGTGTTGCTATGCCAAGCCTGTAAAAGGCTGGCAGAACAAATTGTGAGATGGGGGGGGGGGTGTTTAATGAGGTGGGTCCTCATGTGAGAGCTCAGCACTGCCAAGCCTTTTACAGGCCGGGCAGAGGAGCATTTTCCTTTATGGAATGCGTGAATTTTATTGACTTCATAAATATACAGAATTAATAAAGTTAGAGATGAGATCCGATGCGACATCAATTTAGGAAAAACAATATATTAAGAAATTCACATTAGAAACTACATCGAACGATTTTTCATTGTAGTATCAGAAAATCACACGAGAAATTCTTACCATATATCGAGAAAAGTTAGAGATGAGATCCGATGAGACATCAATTTAGGAAAAACAAACAATGATTTAGTTGTATTTTAGGAAGATGTCATAATCGATTCATAAGTCACATATATCTTGAAATTACTAATTTATTTATTACGTGATTTTAAATTTTTAAATCAATCTAAACATATTTAATAATTAAAGGGAAAAAACATAAAAAATGCGTTAAAAAGAACGCGCTAGGCACGCTTAGGCGTTGAAAAAATTTTTAAAAATGAAATAAAGAACTAAAAAATTGAAAAGCGCTAATCGAGGCGTCGCACTTAGGCTCTTAGACGTCGCTTTTTAGAACACAATAAATAAGTTAATTTTTTAAAATTTATAATTACTCGTAGTGGTCAACGTTCACCAAAAAGCTTAGACTCCACCTTTTAGAGTAGTGAACAAGTTAAGCATCCATTTGATGCCCTTTAATTTCTCTTTATATATTGATTTCATTTTTTGAAACAGTAGTATATGAATTTAAAACTGCATTTTAGAACACAGTAAATAAGTTAATTTTTTAAAATTTATAATTACTCTTAGTAGTCAACATTCATCACCAAAAAGCTTAGACTCCGCCTTTTAGAGTAGTGAACAAGTTAAGCATCCATTTGACGCCCTTTAATTTTTCTTTATATATTGATTTCATTTTTTGAAACGGTAGTATATGAATTTAAAACTATTGGTCTACCTAACGGCCATCAAATTCTTTGAAGACACCTATAGCGTTGGAAATTGTTTTCCCATTCCTACCCTCAAATAACCAATCCTAAACTACAGGATTGCCCTCGAGTACTTCTCTGTCTTAACACCAAAAATGTGTTAAAAGAAATTTGAGGGCACTTTTGGAATCATAAAAATTTGCATTGAAGAAGAGGTCAATTGTACCTATTGTAAGCAAATTGAAAAGAATGCAAATAATCACTGGGGTCAACTTCTACTGTACAAAACAATGTTTTCTTGAAAAAAAGAGCGTGAAAGGCGCTAATTTTTTAAAGTTTATAATTACTCTTAGTCAACGTTCATCACCAGAAAACTAGGAATACGCCCTGAAGTCAGCTCTCTTGAAAGGGATATACGAAACTTTGACGAATACAACGTAATATCGATTCGTTTTTTGGCTATCCATGCAGTTGTCACGAACCCACATAATGTCTGAAGTATTTACTGTAATTGATCCAAGTGTCATTAATTAAATACCCGATGAATGTGAGATTATAGCTGACGGATTCTATAGAGATGCAGAAAATATTTTCTTTGTTTTCAAAGAAAATACGATCACGCGATCAAATTTAAGAAAATATTTTTTGTGCGAAAAAATTGTAAATGAAACAGCATAAAAATAGGATATTAGGTGGAAAAAATACATTTTCCATGGAAAATATTGACAATCAAACGCATCATTAGAGTTTTTAAAAGTCTCAATTGAATACATTTAGGGTGCGTTTGATTGCCAATATTTTCCATGAAAATACGTTTTTTCCATCTAATTTCATACTTTTGTGCTATTTGATTATAATTTTTTTCACGAAAAATATTTTCTTACTTTTGGTCATGTGACCATATTTTTCTTGAAAACATGGTAAATATTTTTTTTTTTTGGCAGAGATGGATTTTATTTTCTAGGTAATTCACTCTCTCTTTTTGTTTACACTGTCATCTCTTTCTTATCTACTAGGAATAAAAAATGGACAAATATAATATTTTATAGGTTGAAAAATAAATAAATCAAACACATTTTAATTAATGATTTCTATACAAATAAGTTCTAGACAATTGAATTGCCTATAATTTATTTTTTTTCATGCAAATTTCCTGCTCGTAATCGAATGTACCCTTACACTTTTTAAATCCTCAATAGTTTTAAAAATTCTCAAATAAATACACCCCTAAATAAGTTTTTATGTCCAAACATCTTTAGATGTTTCATTTCTATACTTACTTTTAAGAGATGTATTCTAGCCTTTTTTCAAGTGATAGAAATTTTATGAAATGCGTGAATTTTATTGACTTCATAAATCTACAGAATTAATAAAGTGTTTCATAGATTTTTATAAACTTTCATTTAATTTTTTTATAGAATTCATTTACTTTCATTTTAGAAAAAAAAAAATCATATAAAACAAATCATATTTCTCATATCAATAAAAATAATTTTTAAGAATATAAAAATAGATAAGTCATTCCAATTAGATAAATAAATAATTAAAAATAAAAATCATAAAAGTCTTGATTTTATATAAATTTTTGAGGACTTTTACAAGTCTAGGATTCATAGTGAATACTCCAAGACTTTTATAATCATATAAAACCCCATTTAATAATGATTTTTTTTTTTATCACCTCTATAAATTAATAGCCTTGAGTCAAGAAAAATCTATTAATTTAGAAATATTAATCATTTAATAATGGTTTTTTTTATGACCCTACGAATTTAGCATTCTATGTATTTGACTTTAACCAAGTAAACTGCATGAGTGTACTTATTTTTTTTTTTCTAAAAATAAATTTGCATTATTCAATGTACTATATTAATGTATGAACATTTGACCAAGCAAAAACTCTATTTAAAAATAAACTAAAATAGTAGGAAATCAAAATAATGAAGTTGAATATCATAGATCTAATATGGAGCCCATTTCGAGATAAGAAGCTCTCAAAGTAGTGATAACATCGAACGATTTTGCATTGTAGTATGAGGAAATCACACTAGACATTATTACCATATTGAGAAAAGTTAGAGATGAGATCCGTTGAGACATCAATTTAGGAAAAACAAACAATGATTTAGTTGTATTTTAGGAAGATGTCATAATCGATTCATAAGTCGCATATATCTTGAAATTACTAATTTATTTATTACGTGATTTTAGATTTTTAAATCAATCTAAACATATTTAATAATTCAAGGGAAAAAACATAAAAAAGCTTTAAGAAATGCGTTAAAAAGCACACGCTAGGCATGCTTAGGCGTTAAAAAAAATTTAAAAAAAATAAATAAAGAATTAAAAAATTGAAAAGCGCGAATCGAGGCGTTTTGCTCTCATTTCGCACTTAGGCTCTTAGACGCCGCTTTTTAGAACACAATAAATAAGTTAAATTTTTAAAATTTATAATTACTCGTCGTAGTCAACGTTCATCACCAAAAAGCTTAGACTCCGCCTTTTAGAGTGGTGAACAAATTAAGCATCCATTTGATGCCCTTTAATTTCTCTTCATAAATTGATTTCCTTTTTTGAAATAGTAGTATGTGAATTTAAAACTACTTTTTAGAACACGGTAAATAAGTTAATTTTTTAAAATTCATAATTACTCGTAGTAGTCAACGTTCATCACCAAAAAGCTTAGACTCCGCCTTTTAGAGTGGTGAACAAGTCAAGCATCCATTTGATGCCCTTTAATTTCTCTTCATATATTCATTTCATTTTTTGAAACAGTAGTATATGAATTTAAAACTGTTTTTAAGAACACAGTAAATAAGTTAAGTTTTTAAAATTTATAATTACTCGTAGTAGTCAACGTTCATCACCAAAAAGCTTATACTCCGCCTTTTAGAGTAGTGAACAAGTTAAGCATCCATTTGACGCCCTTTAATCTCTCTTATTATATTGATTTCATTTTTTGAAACAGTAGTATATGAATTTAAAACTGCTTTTTAGAATACAGTAAATAAGTTAATTTTTTAAAATTTATAATTACTCGTAGTAGTCAACGTTCATCACCAAAAAACTTAGACTCCGCCTTTTGGAGTAGTGAACAAGTTAAACATCCATCCTTTAATCTCTTTTTATATTGATTTCATTTTTTGAAACGGTAGTATATGAATTTAAAACTATTGGTCCACCTAACGGCCATCAAATTCTTTGAAGAAACCTATAGCGTTGGAAATTGTTTTCCCGTTCTTACCCTCAAATAACCAATCCTAAACTACAGGATTGCCCTCGAGTACTTCTCTGTCTTAACACCAAAAATGTGTTAAAAGAAATTTGAGGGCACTTTTGGAATCATAAAAATTTGCATTGAAGAAGAGGTCAATTGTACCTATTGTAAGCAAATTGAAAAGAATGCAAATAATCACTGGGGTCAACTTCTACTGTACAAAACAATGTTTTCTTGAAAAAAAGAGCGTGAAAGGCGCTAATTTTTTAAAGTTTATAATTACTCTTAGTCAACGTTCATCACCAGAAAACTAGGAATACGCCCTGAAGTCAGCTCTCTTGAAAGGGATATGCGAAACTTTGACGAATACAACGTAATATCGATTCGTTTTTTGGCTATCCATGCAGTTGTCACGAACCCACATAATGTCTGAAGTATTTACTGTAATTGATCCAAGTGTCATTAATTAAATACCCGATGAATGTGAGATTATAGCTGACGGATTCTATAGAGATGCAGAAAATATTTTCTTTGTTTTCAAGGAAAATATGATCACGCGATCAAATTTAAGAAAATATTTTTTGTGCGAAAAAATTGTAAATGAAACAGCATAAAAATAGGATATTAGGTGGAAAAAAATACATTTTTCTTGAAAAATATTGACAATCAAACGCATCATTAGAGTTTTTAAAAGTTTCAATTGAATACACTTAGGGCGTTTGATTGCCAATATTTTCCATGAAAATAAATTTTTTCCATCTAATTTCATACTTTTGTGCTGTTTGATTATAATTTTGTCACGAAAAACATTTTCTTACTTTTGGTNAGATAAGAAGCTCTCAAAGTAGTGACAACATCGAACGATTTTTCATTGTAGTATGAGAAAATCACACCAGACATTCTTACTATATTGAGAAAAGTTAGAGATGAGATACGATGCGACATCAATTTAGGAAAAACAAACAATGATTTAGTTGTATTTTAGGAAGATGTCATAATCGATTCATAAGTCGCATATATCTTGAAATTGCTAATTTATTTATTACGCGATTTAAAATTTTTGAATCAATCTAAACATATTTAATAATTAAAGGGAAAAACATAAAAACGCGTAAAAAATGCGTTAAAAAGCACGCGCTAGGCACGCTTAGGCGTTAAAAAAATTTTAAAAATAAAATAAAAAACTAAAAAATTGAAAAGCGTGAATCGAGGCGTTTTGCTCTCATTTCGCATTTAGGCTCTTAGACATCGCTTTTTAGAACACAATAAATAAGTTAATTTTTTAAAATTTATAATTACTCTTAGTAGTCAACATTCATCACCAAAAAGCTTAGACTCCGCCTTTTAGAGTAGTGAACAAGTTAAGCATCCATTTGATGCCCTTTAATTTCTCTTTATATATTGATTTCATTTTTTGAAAGAGTAGTATATGAATTTAAAACTGCTTTTTAGAACACAGTAAATAAGTTAAGTTTTTAAAATTTATAATTACTCGTAGTAGTCAACGTTCATCACCAAAAAGCTTAGACTCCGCCTTTTAGAGTAGTGAACAAGTTAAGCATCCATTTGACGCCCTTTAATCTCTCTTTTTATATTGATTTCATTTTTTGAAACAGTAGTATATGAATTTAAAACTGCTTTTTAGAACACAATAAATAAGTTAATTTTTTAAAATTTATAATTACTCGTAGTAGTCAACGTTCATCACCAAAAAACTTAGACTCCGCATTTTAGAGTAGTGAACAAGTTAAACATCCACCCTTTAATCTCTTTTTATATTGATTTCATTTTTTGAAACGGTAGTATATGAATTTAAAACTATTGGTCCACCTAACGGCCATCAAATTCTTTGACGACACCTACAGCGTTGGAAATTGTTTTCCCGTTCTTACCCTTAAGTAACCAATCCTAAACTACAGGATTGCCCTTGAGTATTTCGCTCTCTTAAAACCAAAAACGTGTTAAAGAAATTTGAGGGTACTTTTGGAATCATAAAAATTTGCATTGAAGAAAAGGTTAATACCTATTGTAAGCAAATTGAAAGGACTGCAAATAATCACTGGGGTCAACTACTACTATACAAAACAATGTTTTCTTGAAAAAAAAAGAGCGCTAATTTTTTAAAGTTTATAATTACTCGTTGTCAACGTTCATCACCAGAAAACTAGGAATACGCCCTGAAGTCAGCTTTCTTGAAAGCGATATGAGAAACTTTGACGAATACAACGTAATATCGATTCGTTTTTTCGCTATCCATGCAGTTGTCACGAACCCACATAATGTCTTAAGTATTTACTGTAATCAATCCAAGTGTCATTAATTAAATACCCAATGAATGTGAGATTATAGCTGACGGATTCTTCAGAGATGCAGAAAAGGTGTTTGGTGAAATGTCAGTTGCGTGGACCGCCACTATTTCGTGTGGTTCTATTGAGACTGAAGATTTCGTTGATTCCTGATCGTGTTATTGTAGAATGTCAATGAAATTACATATGGCGACTTGGTCTACCTCTATCTCGGATATAAATTGCAATGTACAGGCTGGCAGCAGCAATCTGTTTATCAAACTAAGGTCGTTAAGGCTTAGAATATTGGCTAGGGGAAGTTGCAGATGAAGATGAAGATCCACGGGGTCATCTTATTCCTTCTCTTCTGTGAATTTCATGGTCAACCATATCCTGATGCATCTCAGGACAGTGACCAAGAAACGAAAACCATAAAGATTGGTCTTATTCTGGACTCGAAATCATGGGTGGGGAAGGTTGTTAACAGCTGCATTACAATGGCAATTTCAGACTTTTACATGCTCAATGGACAGTATAAAACAAGGATTGCTCTTGAAACAAGAGATTTGAGAGGAGAACCGCTGAATTATTTAGCTGCTGGTGAGTCATTTTATTGCTGCACCTATTTGTTCTCTTATGTATATTCTGAAGGAAGTTGCTAGAAGATAGACAGAAGTCCATTAGGCTTACTGAAAAACTGCCTCGTTTTGTGGAGGTTTAGATTATTCTGACTCAGGATTTCTTATTATTTCTTCATGCAGCTTTTGATCTTCTGGAAAATGCTGAAACGCATGCGATCATAGTCCCAGAAATGTCAAGTGAACTGACCTTCTTGGCCACTCTATGTGACAGAGCTAATGTGCTGTTGTTTTCATTTTCTTCAACATCATCATTCAATGAACATCCTTATTTGTTGCAAGTTGCACAAGATGAGACCACTCAATTCAATGGTGTTGCTGCCATTTTAGGAGCATTCCAATGGAGGACTGTTGTACTTATCTACGAGGACACTGTAGATACCGGACAAATTCTATCACATCTACACGACACCTTTCGTGGTAATGATGTGGATGCTCATTTACTGTAACGGTAATGAGGGTGGGCTACAGATGAAGAAATCATCAAAAAGCTTCATAATCTCAGAACTATAAGAACATCAATAATTATTGTACATACATCAGTTTCTCTTGCATCTCAAATTTTTAAAAATGCAAAAACATTGGAATTGATGAGTGGAAACTTTGCTTGGATTGTGACTAGCAAAACCATGAATTTTTTGGAGTTCCAAGATCCTGCTGTATTTGAGACAATTCAAGGAGTAGTTGGTCTCAAATCTTATATTCCTGCATCAAGCAAGCTCCGGGATTTCACTTTGAGATGGAGAAGGGAATTTCAGCTTAGTCATATTGATATGGAAATTAGGGGATTGAATGTGTTTGGTATATGGGCTTATGATGCAATATGGGCATTAGCAGAGGCAATTGAGAGGGAAAGAATACATATTTTTCCAAATAGGGGAGAAGGCTTGGGACTGAACCTAACAGGCTTAGCTCCCATAAGAGTTTCTAATGTTGGTTCAACCCTCCTGAGCAAGTTTCGAAGTATTCAATTTACAGGTTTAGGGGGAGAATTTCAGCTCGCGAATGCAAAATTAGTCCATGAGACTTATGAAATAGTAAATATGATAGGAAATGTGGGAAAAAGAGTAGGTTTCTGGACACCAGCTTGTGGACTCACCAAGGAAATATATTCGTCCACCAACAGTTGTTCCTCTAGCAGCCTGGAAACTATTATTTGGCCAGGATTCTCCAAAACTGCTCCAAAAGGTTGGTTAGTTCAAATGGATGGTAGACCTTTTAAAGTTGGAATTCCGATGAACTCGAGGTTCCATGAATTGATAAGCTGGCAGCACAATCAACAAAAAAATGAAACAACATTCACTGGCTTCTGTGTAGATGTATTCGATATGGCAATTCAGAGATTGAACAGAGCCATAGTTTATGAATTTATTCCCTTCTATAATCACAACGGAAGTTATAGTGATCTCGTAAATCAGGTCTCTCAGCAGGTATGTTAATCTTCCATATTCTTGACTATTCAAGGAAAAACCTAGACAAGTTTGATTGGTTACTAAACTACATGGTTTAGTTTTTCCACTTTATTATTAGAAGAATTAAATTCAGAAGAGCCTTCAATTTGGTTCTCTACATTTTCCTGTATGTAAAGTAGGACTTGACTTTAAAAATCTCGGAATGGGAGAAAATCTACTCTTGTGATGCTATTCTAACTCATATTGCACTCTGTGTCATGAATGGACTAGATTTTTGATGCTGCCGTAGGGGACATAACTATCACTTCGGACAGGTCTCAATATGTTGACTTCACGTTGCCATACACTGAGTTAGGTGTTGGAATGGTAGCACGATTGGACAATAAAGACCCATGGTTCTTCTTAAAGCCATTTAGCGTGGACCTATGGATAATGAGTGCTGGTTTCTTCATTCTGACGGGAATTATTGTCTGGTTTATTGAACACCCTACCAATGAAGAATTCCAAGGTTCTCTAGCATGGCAAATTGGGACAATACTTTGGTTCGCGGCATCAACTCTTGTTTATGCTCAAAGTAAGCTACCTATCTATTGTCACCATATTTCCCGCCTATTTTTCTATTTGTAGTATCCTGCTGATGTAGGTGACAACATTATTTTAACACAGATAATTAAACAAATCGTCATCGCATACTTTTGGACATAGGAATATAATACTTGTGCTATAACCATCTTCGGGTTTAAGAGTGGTGAAGAAATTCACTGGTCTTAGCCTTAGTGGAGCTATAGAATATCCTTTTTCTCATTGTAGAAACAAATATTGTTGATTGACTAGCTAGTGTTCGCTATGAAGACAGAGTAAAAAAAATGAAAACCAGAAATCAACTTTCTTCTTTTTTCCGATGAACAAATAATCAGAAAAAGAAAGCCACTCTCATTGCATCACAAATTTATGCTAGCACAGAAGCTAAATTTTGAGTTGCATGTCACTGCCAGAATTTTTTTGATCAAAAGACATTAGAATTATTCTTATCTTTTTCCGTCCAGTAGGAAATGGGTAGACAGATAATTTTTCAATCCATCATTTTTAATCTGGAAGAACTGAAGTAACAGAATGTTTAGCTTTAAAGAAAGTGTAAGATGCACATTACCTCCTAGAGTACGCAACCTGGATATTCTTATTTCCTTTCAGTATATCAAGAGTCATCTTAAAGTTAAGCCACAAAATCTTAACCTTTCTATTTGTCTTATTTCACAGGATTTCATATATCTTTCTCTAAGTTTACTATTAATACTAGCATCAGATTTCTTAACTTGTGTGCATCTAGCAGGTTTCTTTGAATGTCACCAAATCATCTTAATCTATTCTCTTGTTTGTTCACCTCCATCATCGAATTCACTTTTTTTGCTTCATCCAGAAAACCACAAAACCAACCCCCAGCAGCAAATTGGGCCAAATCATCCCCAACCCTCTCATACACAAGGAAATCTAGAATTTTTTTGAATGTGTGGGTTCATACCAACTCGAACTCTTGATCTTGGAAGTGAAAACTCCACCCAGACAAGAAGAGCTGATAACAAGGAAATCTAGAATGAATGGAGGTTTAGCCCAATTGAGATTCTAATAGATTACTATAATAGTAATTCTCTAAAATCATCCCATGCAGTCAGATAACAAGGCTCTATTTGGAAACTAAAAAATTATCTCAAACCAGATATAGTTTTGTTGGAGAAACAAGACTTTGTTTGAGATAGTTTTTTTACATGATCCTAGTTTGGCTTGGTCAAATACGAAGCTTCACTAAATTCTGGAAAAGATACTTTGTTTAATTGTTATTGTTGAGGAGTAAAATACATATTTGAGCACCCAATCTCATAAAACATGTTCAACTATCTTATGTTCTGTATAAAAAAAGGTTTAACTTCATATCTTGATTACACATAATCTGGATTTAAACTAAAATTGAACCAACAAAGAAAACATAAGCATAAATTTTAGACTTGCAGTTGTCAATATAGGGTTAATTAATTTTAGACTCACTAACTACAGATTACAAACTCGTTAAATGCTACCTCATATCTTTTAACAAATGAACTTCTGATTCAGCAATGAAACCAAAGACAAAGGGAGAGCCAGTTTCAATGAAATGAGATGTAGTTCTTGGCGGACTTTTACATCATCATCTTCTACATATCCATAATGATTGTTGTGTTGTTGATTGGCTTGTAGATATTTTCAGGTAGGAATGCAAGCTTCCTGTGCAATTTTTGAAGAAAAAAAGGGGCATCTAATTTTTCTTTTTTCAAGCTGCACTCAAACAAAAGGCATTGAAAAATAACTAGGCATTTAATGAGATTCGATCATCTTTTCTGGACCAAAGGTAACAGTTTTGTTAAGAATTAACAGCAGAGGGTGATGTATGATTTCTATAACAGATTTTGTAACCTATTTCCAAAGTAGAGCAGGTAATCAGCCCCTTCTGATAAGCACAAAAGGAGATTAACAGCTTACTTCCTAGGCCCGCCTTTAGGAATCACAACATAGCATATAGGATAAAGTTAGATGGCAACCCCGAAACAAAAATATGAACTTGAGTTTTAAGGATACATTTTCAGCGTGTGAATTGTGTCTCTTTGTTTTTGCAGGAGAAAGATTACAAAGTAATCTATCAAGATTTGTCGTGGGGGTTTGGTTTTTTGTAGTACTTATACTGACATCAAGTTATATCGCAAACTTGAGTTCACTTTTGACAGTTCGACGGATAAAATTGACAAAAAACGATTACATAGGGTACTCAGCAAACTCTTTTGTAAAGGGACTTGTCAGCAACCTGAATTTTCAGGATAACAGACTTAAGCCTTTTAATTCACCTGAGGAATATGATCAGGCTTTGAAAAATGGAAGTGAAAAAGGCGGCGTTAGTGCTATTCTTGAAGAAATTCCTTACCTTAAAATATTCCTGGCGAGGTACCCACATGATGATTATGCCATAATTGACTCCTCAGAGAAAAGTAATGGCTTTGCTTTTGTAAGATTCTTCTTCCTCGAAAAATATGTGCGTGCATGTCCTCCCCCACTGCCCCAACCCCTTTATTTAATAGGTTATTCATATGTTATTTACTATTTTGGAACAAAAATACAAAAAAAGGTGGTTGAGTTTAACGGGGTTTAAGTATTTGTTTCTGTGTATATTCTATATACATAGGCGTGTTTGTGTGACTATATGCATGCTTATAATTGATGAACACTGTAGGTTTTTCCAAAAGGTTCACCATTGGTCCATGAAATGTCAAGACAGATTGCGATGCTCAGAGAAGAGGAAATACTTCTGGCGTTGGAGAATAAATGGTTTACAAGCCAATCGTCATTATCTTCTATATACACTAAGCTACCTGCCACCAATACTCTGGAGATTACTAATTTCTCTCGTCTATTTGTTGTTAATGCGACCTGTAAAGCTGTGGCCCTTCTTCTATTTTTGGTCTTTGTACTCTGTGATAAAGTGTCCATCAAATACTATGTTATCAGAATTTTGGCAGGAAGAAAACTGGTATCCATTTTTAGATACCTATTCACAGCCAATACAATTGGTATGACAAATGCCACTCAATGAGTTATATGTAATGATATTCCTTGTACTATACGGTGTTAAATGTCAATAAATAATGGAAGTTTGTGATGATTTGGAATGTTTTTGAGCTTATGTTTTAAATGCATGTTTGGTAAGTATTACGGAAAATGATTGTGCCGTACAATAGACGAAATCAGCTAACTTTTCTATTACAAATTGAGAAATGCTATTCATCCCCACTGGAGATGCATCCTCAGTCTATGTGGCGTTAATGTGACATTAAATGATATGTGAAATTAAAGAAGTCATTTAATTTCACCTATCATTTAACCAATCATTTACATCCACATAGATTGGGGATACATCCCCACTGGGAATGAATAACATTTTTCTTATAAATTAGGGGTGTTAAGTAGGGTGAGCAGCTTGTCATCTCGACGCTTCTCAATAGCGATCCAAACAACAAATCAATCGTGCGAGCCAGCTCGCCTCAAGTTTGCAACAGCTTGCATTTTAGCTACAAAAATGCAATTTTTGGCTTTTAAAATAAAGGGAAGAGAGAGAGAGAGAGAGAGAGAGAGAGAGAGAGAGAGAGAGAGAGAGGAGCTGTGAGTGGTTCGCAAGCTGGCTCGATTTGCCTCATCAAGGGGCCTCTCTCATCTCGTTCCCGTGGACGAGCGCACCATTTAACACCCTTATAATAACCTTACCAAACACGCCCATCCCACCTTTAACATACTTGTACAATCTTTCTATCTTCACCAAACCAATGTGAAGAATGCCTCAACATACAATGCAAAGTTAGTGTTTAAAAATTTGGGATGTTTTTTTTAGTGGGTCTACGACTTCATACATAAATGAAAGGTGAACTTTATATTTGTTTTTTTTTTTTGATAGGTAAGGAGAATCTGTTATAGAAGATGATATCAGAGGAGGCTTAGGTAATTTTTTATACAAGTGGAATCAACAAACATTAAATTTGATAATTAAAAGAATTCCTGCAATAAATTAGAGAATGAAAAGTGACAATTAACAATGCAAGGAGACTGTAGCAAATTTATAGAAGTCAAACCACAGGTGTAGAAAAAAGAGAGTTACAGCTGGGAGGCGCCATAAATTAAACCTCCAGAGGAAGAAGACTGAGCCCCGTCATCATTTTGAAAAACTGTTTAGAAAATGGGCCCCCCAGTGCATAAGCTACCTAATAGGGTTTGGATTGACTATTGAGGAATCGTGAGTTTTGATTGGCTATGATTCATGAGAAGAAAAACTGTCGGTATCCTGTCTTAAATGTCAGCAATTGGGACACTTGTGGTCATAAATTTGTGTTGAATGAGCTATTATAAATGTATAGCCGTTTAGAAAATGGATTTTTCCAGTTCTCAATCCTCTTCAAACTTCAAAGTCCACATATTGATTGTTTCCTTTCAGTTCTTCAACTTGAACAGATCATACCTGCAATGTCAAACACAATAATAGAAGAATTTGAATGCTAAAATTTCCCGTCACTATTTTGGTTATATAAAAATATTATGCCGAATAATATATTGAACACTTCCATTCATCTATCGTGACCTCACGTCGTTTCGTACTTGAGTCAACATCTTGAATATATATATAGATCGTAATTAATCTTCTTTTTCTTTTGTTTGCAATTCATGGCGGCGATTTAGGTTTCGGGTGGTTGACTTTAAGAGAATCGGCTTTAGTTGTACCAAAAAATCAGTTATAATATTTGAAAATTTTATGTTTGTTACCAAATCGACATTTAAGTGTTTGGTTAAAAAAAAAAAAAAAATTATTTATTCTGTGCATTGTTATACAATTATTAAAAGAATATTCATTGCAATGATCTTCTTCAATATAACTAGTAGCATAAAGTTTATTTTGAATTTTATATTACTAAGTCTAAATCAATATATTCATTACTATTAATTTCGTTGGAAAAATATTAATAAATATTAATCTCAAACTTTATTAAGCTCATGTTTATCAACCACACATTCTCCAATAAAATAATGTTATACGTAAATATATAAATTTTTCCTTATTTTTTAATCACACATTTTCAAAAAATTACTATTCCCCTCATTATAATTTGAAAAAATGGAGCCCAGATAGTTTCTTTTTTCTTAGTGTTATTCTCTCGTGTTCTTCTATTTTATTGTCAATTGGTTCCAGCCTACGGAATAATCACTATTCTGTCCGGTGTCACACGGGCCTAATTTATTAATTGTATGTTGAATAGTCACTTTTAAATTGATATTCCTATATACTCCCGTCACATTAAAAAGCAATTATATAACTATTACGAGAGGGCTATTTCTAAATATTTAATGTAATAGTCCTCGATCGTCAAGTTCAAAATCCAAGCAAACTGCTCACATGGTAGACTTGCCCACCAATCAATTAAAATAAAATTCAATGTTTCATCATGTTTCATTTCACAGCTGCAGCATATGTATATGAAAAGAAAACAGTCTATGTGTATTCCAGCTACCAATAATTAGATGAAAAGAAAATGGCAAATGTTTGCAGAATTCTCATATTCTCCATTTGCTTTGGTCTTTTAACTGATGAATTATATGCTGCAAATTTGATTAGTTCATCAAATAGAATTCAAGAAACTGAAGTTGGAGTCATAGTTGATATG